CTGGACCCTCACTTTGGCGGCCTACTGTTTGTCAGTTGGTAGTTCCCCCGTTGTCAGAAATAAAAAGATGTCGGCCACCCAAGGAATGGGTTCATTTTGGAGGAAGTAAACTTGCTGCTGGTTTGGGGAAATGGCTGGGTGAGTCAGGTACTCGAGGCGAACACCGTGGCTGAGGTCTGACTGGTCTGCTGAAGCCAACTGACCCATTTCACCTGCCTTGGAGTTTTCGGTCCGAGGGATGTGCTTGATATGGAACCTGGTGAAGAAGCGAGCGAGAGGGAGTGCAATATCCCGATAAGCCCGCATTGTGTCTTCTTTGGCATCGAATTCCCCCGTGATTTGACCGACAATGAGCTGGGAATCGTTGAACACTTGGATATGGTTAACACCAATGTCTCTGGTGAGGCGGAGACCTGCAATCAACGCCTCATATTCGGCTTCATTATTGCTTGCATCGAACAAGAAACAGAGGGCACATTTAAAATAACCAGCCTCAGGGGCGGTGAGGATAAGACTAGCCCTACTGCCTTCCTTGCGGGATGATACGTCAACATTGAGGGTCCAGGAGTGGGGGTCCTCTAGTTCGGTAAGGGTTGGTGGGGATGGAGGAGCTGTGGTTGGGATGAAATTAGTGAATTCCAGGATGAAATCGGCAACAACTTGCCCCTTAATGGCTGTCTGAGGCCAGTAGAAAATATCAAACTAGCTGAGTTCGACCGACCATTGTATAAGTCTGCCGGAGAGCTCTGGTTGTTGCATGATCTTTTTCAATGGTTGGTCAGTGAGGACCACTATGGAGTGGGCTTGGAAGTAAGGACGGAGTCGTCTGAAGGCGGTGACCAAGGCCAAGGACATTTATTCCAACAATGGGTAATTCTGTTCCGCTTCCCTAAGAGCCCGACTGATGTAGTAGACCAGCCGTTGGACGGAGTTGTCTTCCCTGATGAGAGCTGCACTGACTGCGGTGTTTGACATGACTAAATAGAGGAAGAGGGGTTCGCCTGTGATTGCCTGAGAAAGGAAGGGAGGTTGGCCATGCACTGTTTCAATTGTTGGAAGGTCTCTTCGGACTCGGCCATCCACTCAAAAGTTTGCCAAAAGGGGAGACACTTGTCCGTTGCATGAGAAATGAAACGGTTGAGGGCGGCAACTCGGCCAGTAAGTCTCTGAACCTCCTTAATCGTTCTAGGTGACTGCATTTCAATCAAGGCCTTGATCTTTTCGGGGTTAGCTTCAATGCTCGCTGACTGACCATGAAACCTAGAAACTTCCCAGATCCTACGTCGGAGGCGCATTTCTCCGGATTGAGCTTCATTTGGTACTTTCGTAGGGTGGCGAAGGTCTCTCGCAGATCGGCCAGATGATCAGTGGAGAGCTTGCTCTTGACTAGCATGTCGTCGACATATTCTTCCATATTCCGGCCTATCTGATGATGAAAGACAGCATTGACCAACCGTTAGTAGGTGGCCCAGCATTCTTCAACCCAAATGGCATCACACGGTAATGGTAGGTACCACGGTCAGTGATGAAGGATGTGTGTTCCCGATCAGACGGGTGCATCAAAATTTGGTTGTACCCGGAGAAGGCGTCCATGAAGCTGAGCATTTGATGACAGGCCGTGGCGTCAACCAGCAAATCTATGCAAAGAAGTGGATAGCTATCTTTGGGGCAAGCTCGGTTGAGGTCGGAGTAGTCGACATAGAGTCGCCATTTACCGTTGTTCTTACAGAGCAGGACCACGTTTGACAACCATCTAGGGTAGTCCACGTTCTTGATGAATTGTGCCTCAAGGAGCTTATCTACTTCCGCGGCAATGAGAGTGTTGCGCTCTGGATGAAAGATGCGCTGCTTCTGGCGGAAAGGTCGGAAATGGGATTCAATGCTGAGGCGATGGGTTATGAAGGAGGGGTCGATACCCGGCATATCGGAGTGGGTCCAGGTAAATACATCTTTATGCTCGATCAGGAGGGCGGTAAGGTCGACTTTTGCCTGGGTGGATAGTTGGCTGCCGATCTTGGCAGTTTTTGTTGGGTTAGTGGGATCGATGAGGACCTCAAAAAGTTCTTCCACCGGTTCCCTCCTAACCAGCTCGTCCTCGTCGCTAACATTGAGTCCTTCAATGATCATAGCTTCTTTCAGCTTGACTTCTTTAAGTGAGGCGACATAACATTCTCTGGTCACGGTCTGCTCTCCCCTTACTGTCCCGACCCCAAGATCGGTGGGGAACTTGATAGCAAGGTGGTAAGTGGATGTGATAGCTTGGAAAGCATTTTGGGCGGTGCGACCAAGGATGATGTTATAGGCAGAGGGGCAGTCAACAATAAGGAAGGTGAGTAACCTAGTGGTCTGACACGGGTACTCGCCGATTGTGATGGGAAGATCAATGAAGCCGATGGAGGTCACTCGGTCGTCAATAAAATCGACCAAAGGGGTTTGGAGAGGAGACAGACTTTCTTTCCCGATCTTGAGCAGGTGGAAGTAATTGAGAAAGATGATGTCTGAAGAACTGCCATTGTCGACGAGAACCCGTTTGACCTTGTAATTGAAGAGGAGAGCGGAAATGACAAGAGGGTCGTCATGGGGGTAACGGATGTCTGTGCAGTCGGCGTCCGTAAAGATGATAGGCTCGGTCCACTGCCGGGGCTGTTTGGGGGGTCGGTCCAATGTGGCAACTTCTTTGTCTGAGCCCTACCTTATTTTTCTGAGTTTTGCCCGCTGAGCCAAGCGAGATGGTCCTCCACAAGCAAGCCCACCGGAAATAACTCTGATTTCTCAAACACGTGGGGCGAGGTTGCCTTGTGCCCGAGGTTGCTGTGGAGGGCGATCATGACCTTGGTTAGGTTGTGCTGGTTGTCAGGGAGGGGTGCGCCGGCGGTTGTTTTTGATAGGTTCAGTCCGTTGCCTCTGCTGAGGGCGAGTATCCGTGAATCGACTGAGACGTCTTTGACGAATCAAGCCCTCGACCTGATCTTTGAGGTTAATACACTCCTTGGTATTATGGCCGTGGTCCTGGTGAAAATGACAATATTTGGACTGGTCTCTCCGACTAGAAGGAGTCCGTAATGGTTGGGGCCATTTTAGGGGGGTAGTCCCACTGAATCTGATTGAGGACTTGTTCCATAGGGGAATTGAGAGGTGTGTACCGCTCGAACCACCCGGTCGATCGGGCTGGTGCCGACTAGTCAGCTCGGGGGGGTCGGTCGGTATACTGACTTGTTGGGTTATTGTACTGGGTATGTTTGGTTTCTAAGTCTTTTCGCTTTTCCCGAGGGGTCGGGTTTTTTGCTGTAGGGTCTTGACGAACAACTAGGGAATCTTCAACATTCATGTATTTTTAGGCTTTGGAGAGTAGGGTTGCCATGGAGGTCGGGGGGTTTTTAGAGAGGGAAAAAAGGAAGTCAGACGACCGTACACCGACCATGAAAGCCGTAAGGATGACCTTGTCATCGTTTTCCGCTACCTGCAAGGCTTCGGTATTGAAGCGGGTAACGAAACTGCGCAACGACTCCCCCTCGGTCTGACGGATGTTGAGGAGTTGGGTTGCCAGACGCTGGGCTCCAATGAAATAGCTAAGGAAGGAGTCGCTGAGGTGTTGGAAAGTGGAGACAGAGTCTGCTGGCAATTGACTAAACCAAAGTCGAGCTGACCCCTTGAGTGTCCCGAGGAAAGCCCGACACATGATTTCGTCAGGGAATGCATAGAGGATCATGAGGGTTCTGTAGGTCTCCAAGTGGTCGACTGGATCCGTTGTACCGTCAAAAGAGTCGATGGTGGGCATTTTGAACTTGGGGGGTAGAGGTTTATCCCGGATGGAGGCGACGAATGGTGAGTTAGCTGTAATAGAGGGTTTATGCTGTATGTTCTGTATGACTCTTTGGAGTTGGAGCTTCATGGCTCGAAATTCTGCATCCCAGAGAAGAATGTTGTCATCACCAGATGGCAGCGGGGGCTGGACGCTGCTGGCCTCTCCTTCAGGGGTCGGTGCCAGGATCAATAGATGTGGGGCTCGGGGTAGTGGATTTATATCTGGGTGAGGGGGTCGCAAGCCTTCCAAGTTGGGTGGATTAGGCTGTTGGATAGTATGGCTTGGGGCTCGCTCTTGGTTGAGTGGGATATCTGGAGGTGGTGGAGGGGGTATAGGAAGGTTTCTTTGGAGTAGAGCATTAATCAAGGCTTGGTTTTGCTCGGCCAGACGGTTAATGCTGTTGGTGAGCTCGGTGAAATACTGTGGTGGGTTGTTTGGATTGGGAAGGTCGGCTTGGTGGTCAGGAACATTGGGGTGGGAAGCCAGTCACGCCGTCTGTGGGAACTCTCTTACTCCGCGCGCCAGTTGGGCCACCAAACTGACGTGAATGGCTTCTCGCGCCCCGGTAAGATATTGTCCGCTCTGGCGAGACGGCAAAACGTTGCCCGTCAGCCTCACGGCTTTAAAAGACCTCTTACAAGGTGGAGGGGGCCAGTACGCTTATAAGTTGGTTGCAAGTGTCCCTCCCAAACGATGTGGGATTGTCCCAACAAAATTCATTAAAAAATATTTTTTTTTCTCAAAAAAACTAGTTTCATACCTTTTTCTGGCCTTTTACTGATTTCATGACTACTGCATGATTATCCCATCTCAAATTTATGTCCCATTTAATTAAAACAAAAAATTTAATTGAGCCAAAAAAATCATTTCCTCTTTCATAAATAAACTCAATAATGATGTACTTGATCATAAATAACTAAATAAATAAATAAACAATAATGATTCATCCCACTAAAAATATCACCACTAATAACACTAATGTATTAAAAAAGTAAAAGAAAAAAAAAAATACAATTTCAAGACCAAAACATCACATCATTAATGACGAAACTCACTACCACCTAATTAGTGGGAGCACTAATTAATACTCCCAAACATTTTTCATAAATAAAATAAACTCAACAAGATAGAGTGTGATGAAATTGCCCCCCACAAAACTTGTCGGTTTAATTACTTTACATAGAAAACCGACTCTTTTTGCTTTTGTTTGTCAAAAACCTTTGCGCTCTCTCTCTCTCTCTTTATTCCCTCTGTCTCTTTCAGATTTGAGAACTATTTTACACAAATGTTGCCCCTTACCTTCTTTGCTTCTCTCTCAATCTCTATTCCCTTGTTAACCCTTTTACCTCCTTCCATGTTTCCCCATTTTTGAATCTCTTTCTTTCTTATATACTTCCCTTTGCATCTCTGAAATTTAGGTAAGTCCAGTCGGCCCCCAATTCTTTTCTTTCTTTTTTTTCTTTTAATTTTCTTGGTGTTTCTTTCTCTGTTATCTCTAATCTCAATTGGGTACTACCATTTCTTTATTATCTTGTTTTTCAATCTTTAGGGTTTTGAATTTAGCTTCTTGGGTTAGTTGGATCTCTTCTGTTTGTGGTCTATACTTTGATTTAAATACCTTGTTCGATTGTTATTTGGATTTTTCTGTTTCTGGGTATACTGAGATCTTGATATTTTTTTGTTGGGTTGGGGGTTCTGTTGTTTTCTAAGTCACTGTTTGAGGGCTGCTTCGATTTTATCTCTGTGGGTTGCTTTGGTTTTTACACTGTTGTGTATCATTTTTCCAAGTTAGGTCTTGGGAAACTCCAATTTTCTGTTATTGAATTTTTGCCTTTCCTTTCTTTGATTCTATCTTGTTTCGAATCTCAATTTAAAGGCAATGTCACAAGGTTATGCAATTGAGCTTTACTTCGATCCCGCTCTGGAAAACCAGGTCTTGAAGGCCTGGAATGTATTGGCTCGCCGCCAAATCAGTACTCAGCTTATCGAAATAGAATCTAGGCCTCACATTACCCTCTTTTCCAGCCCCTTTATCGACCCATCAAAGCTCGAAAACATAGCAAAAAGTTTGGCTTCGAAGCAAGAACCTTTAGCCATATCTTTCTCCTCAATTGGAAGCCTTCCAAATGACAACAATGTTCTCTTTCTTGCCCCGACACCGTCACTGCCCCTTCTTCAATTTCATTTGCAATTGTGTGATGCTATGAAAAAGGAAGGCATCGAAATTGGGGAGGAGTACCGCCCGGATTCATGGATTCCTTATTGCCCAGTTGCTGAAGAAGTGCCAAAGAGTCGAATGGCCGAGGCGTTTACTGTTTTGCGAGACTTGAAGTTGCCAGTTACTGGGTACGCGATGGATATTGGGCTGGTGGAGTTTTCTCCGGTTCGTGAACTCTTCTCATTTATGCTTGGCAGCACAATTGAAGCATGAGGTTTCAAACCCCATTCCCTGCTTTTGTGTTAAATTATGTTTTGTCTATGTTTTTCGCTAATGTAGAAACTAAACATAGATCTGTATCAATGGTTCAATTTAGACCATGCTAAAGAATTCTGCTTTTACTATTGAAACAGTACCTGTGCTTAATTTGGCTAGAGAATGTTCTGTTTAGAATGAATGTATTTCACTTTTATTGAAGAAAAAAATTAGAAAATTTTGTCTCTGCTTATCTGATGTTTTTTGGGAGGATTGGAAGGATCTTTTTATTAGGTCAACTAGTGGCTTTTCTTCAAGTTGCTTTGGACATGATAAAGTGGGGGGAAATCACAGTTGTACTTTAAAGTAGAAACAAGTTCTCTGTAATTTGTTTGGACCCTTAAACTGTATGGATTTAATATGATGATAGATCTGATAGGCTATTTATCTAATATTGGATTTTGAATGTCTCTCTCTCTCTCTGTTGTTGGAACTTACAAAATGCATGATACCCATAATTTTCTCCCCCATTAGTTTGCCAATTGCCTTTGGTGTGACTCACTGCTCTAACCAAACCAAACTAATTTTCCATAATATTTATGTTTTAGTTGTGACCTATTTAACTACATAATAGAGCCTGATACTATAATGTTAATGATTTGTGAGTCTGTGACTTCTATCAACCTATAAGCATTGCTGGAGTTCTCAAGGATGGATGTACAACAGTTATTGAATGTTGAAAGATTATCTCATTGTTGTTTGGATTCGGTCTCATTACTCTTTTTCGCACATTTTTATGTTATATATCATTTGCTGGCTGTGGGATTTAAGATTTTTTTTTGTCTGCTTCATATATTTTTAAACATTGGCTGGAAGTGATTGTTTCTTCATTTCTAGTATTTTTTTTATTTTCCTGATTGAAGATTCCAGGAAAGGTTGACGAAACTAAAGAAAGGTGGAAATTCCACTTCCAAGAATTTTAAAATGAAATACTTGTTAGAAGCTTAGGTTTAAAAGAGCTTGTTAATCATGTTTGTTAAGGAAAACAGGTTTTTCCATAGAATTTGGATATTTAAGGTTAGAGTTTGTTTGTATAAAATGCTTATAAATATTTTGTAGGAGTATGGTGTTTTAAAATTTTAATTAAGTCTGTGTATGTGAGGGGAATGATGGAATGCCCTGTTTGAAGAAAATTCAAATATGATTATGTTTTATGAATTGTGATAAATTGCTAGTTGAATGAAAGAAGGGCATTTAGAACATGCATGGGGTTGTAGGAACCAAACTGATAGTAAGCAAGAGGGCCATGTTCGATTTGTTGACTCCTTCAACCTGGCAGCATTCATGAGTTGCTTGTTTCAGTGCCCCTAGGAGACACGGTTGAGAAGTGCCATGTATAGGAAGAATCCCATCATGTTTGCTATGTATCCATATCCATAATGCTGTTTTGTGGTGAATTTTAACTTAAAATTGTGCAGAGATACTTTACTCAGAAATGTTTTAGGTTAGTAGGATGAAGATTGATATAGAATGTGATTTTGGTAGAACTATACATTGAAATGAGATACATGGTAAGATTGAAATGATATGGCAAGTCGCTTACCTCCTCATTAGTTGTGTTCTCAATTTCTTATGCTTGACACGTAATTAGGATGGTATGATGTTGGCTGTGGAGTTAGATTTAGAAGTTCATAAGACATTTATAAGGGGAAATGTGTTTTATTTGTTTATTTATTTTATTTTAGTAGTGATGATAGATATCTCTTTTTGCATCATACTTTTGGAAAGTATTATAGCATTAACTGCCATTTGGAATCACTTTCTATTGGTTGCATTAGCAATTCCAAAATTAAAGACCGTATGTTCTCTCCCGAAATGGAGAGAGATGTTGTATATCACATGAAGAAGGTTTTGTATGTTAGTGGTATGAATATTGGTAGTAATACTGGAGGATAGAGAAGTGAATTTCAAATAGCAACAGCTGTCATATAAGAGAACTCAAGTTGTTATATTTGAAGCAATGACGTGCTTGTTTGTCTCAAGTACCTGTTGGTCCATTACATATACTGATGAAAATTACCAAGAAAATGACATCAGTTGAAGTTTAACTTTACTGTTTACATGTCTTGTTGCCTTTTACCTTGTGGTGTAGTAGAGATTGAGAAATTCTCTTACAAGAATCAATTTTCTTAAGGGTTTTTTTAAAAAAAAAATTATTGGTCAAGTTCAAGAGTCATTGTTGCTGTTTAGTTATTGGATGGTGTGATCAATATCCACTGTGTCCCTACTGTTATTTGGTTGGGAATACCACTTCCTGGTTTTGACTGAAGTAGGCGTCAACTAGCTCAATTCTGGAAGTGTTAATATAACAGAGGAGATGAAAGGGTATTACTACTTAGGAAGATGAATTTCAGCAATTGTAGGCAAAATTAATTTTACACCTTTGTGGTTTTGCCTCGGAGCACTTTACTTGCTTATAGTTCAAATATATCCTGCAGCATTGCATCCTGATTTAGCTTCTATATATATGTACATCATTGCTAGTTTAGCCCCATATGCCTGTTGAATCTCATCTAGAATGTTCTTTATCAGATGTGAACATTTACCGGTGTTTCTTGTTAATTTTGTTGTACAAGGTGATCTCTTAAAGTTTGGTATTGGTGAGCTTTAACCCATGATCTTGACAGTATTACTGTTCATTGGCAAAATTCATTCACTGCATGGAAATTAGTGCTATATTCGAATGGGACATAGGAGGAAGAAACGTCTAGATTACTGCAAAACAAAACAAATGTAGAAACAATCATGCCCCAAGGCATACATGTTTTTACATGATTATATACTAAAGAGCCCACCATGCATACCGGCATTGGTCCTTTACCCCTTGTGTTATTTGCCATTGGTTTCCAACTTTTTCTAACTTTGTTTCTTCTTATAATTAAAAGCCTATCCTTTAAAGCAGCATGTAACCTCGTATTGCACTTGCACATCTCTGCTTCAATACAAGCAATTTCTACCTGGTCTGTCCTTTTCGTTTTTGTTTTTTGTTATTTTGTCAGTTGTGTTCAATACCTGAAGAAGTTGGGTTGACGAAGATTTAGGTCTTGAGGACTAAAATGGTTGTGTTTTGTTATTACAGTTTGATCATATATTTGTATACTTTTCTGCCAAGATTTTCTTTCCTTTTTCAATGTTTTATTTTTTATAATTTTACTGTTATTATTGTCGTACTTTCATAGCCAATAGCTTCAGCATCTTCCATATTTCACTCATGTATGCTACCAACAGTGTGTTTAGTTATGCTGTTGTTTGTCGAGGGATTTATTGGCGAACCATGGAAGAAAGAGGTGTCTTCATGTCTCATATATGAAGGGACAAATAAGAGAGATTTGTAACTGAATGTGAGGGGTTACTTTTGAATCAATGAAAGATAAAGTGAATAAAATTTTATTGAGTTATAAGATTGCAAGCAAAAATAGTTCTCTTTTCTTGACAAACTAAATGAAGCTCAAGGGCTAAGACTACTCATTGGACTACGATACCAGGTTTTGTTAGGTCTCTGAATTTCTTCCATCTGTCAATCAGAATTTTAATATTTAGCTCAAAGCAGCTGTTTGGACCTTTGTTTTCACCATAGAGGGGCCCCTTGATTTTGAGCTCTTGCCCAAATGACAGCCTGTTTGAGTTATTCTTATAGATAATTTTTTAAGGTCTAGTTTATAGATGTGATTAGGACATTCTTAACAAAGCATTAAGATGATTCTACATTCCAAAGACATGGATAGTTGAAGAATGTTCAACCATTTAAATTTTTATAAAATTTTTTATTTGGGGGGGGAACCATCCTCCTATGAAAATAATCACCCCACAGTTCATCAACCACCAATTGCCTCACTGATGCAGAGAAAACTCGAGCTTCCAAATTTTGAATGATACATTAGAATCTAACAAACAAACAAACTCTTAACCATGACATGTTGGAAGTGTAACTTCAAATAAGCGAGGAGATTGAGAATTGGCCTTGGCAACAAACATTTCAATATCATGTCTACGGAAAAATAAAAAATGAATTCCCGTCATGTTACCCTAGCATTGACCAACGACTCCAGCATTAATTGAAGTCCTCAAACCTGTTGGATCACATCTGCTGAAAACAAGCATTTTATCTAGCTCATCTCAAGAAAATTTCACTCACTTATTTGAGTGTAATCAGCAGCACCATACACATTCAGGAACATAACTTGGCCAAAAAATTGCAACCAATCAAATATTTTTCATTCCCATGTTCCAGAGTTGTCCAATGAGACTAAATTTGAGTTTATCATGTTATTTAAACAAAAAAAAAAAATTGTAAATACATATCAGACAACAATGACGGTTGGTTGGTTGGCCCATGCAATATCATTATGAAGAGGTAATAATAATAATACCAAAATTTGGTAGTCAGGACTACAGTCACAACTAAAAAGCATTGTAAAAAAAAGGATGGGGGGGGGAGGGGAGAGAAAAGAATAATTAAAAAAGAAGATACAAACCAGATACTGTGCCTGGACAGTTCCGACCCTCAATACTCTCTTTATATCTAAAAGGATTGGATACAGATTTGAGTTTCAAGTGCACCAGCCGACCCAAAGTCCATACTTCCCAAGGCCACCACCACCACATATTCTTTTCGAAAGTCATATCTACACAAGGAACTGATCAGCAATGACTGCCATGTAAGAACAGATTCAAGCAATAACGATTCCTCCAGGACTCCAGCAGCCTTCATTGGTTCAGGACAAGGAGCTCTTTTTCTCGTCTGACGGCCAAAATTTGACCAGTTAGTTGAACACTGCTAGGATTTGTCAGCTGCAAAAGAGTTCATCGAGTCAAGGATAAAAATTCTAAAGCAACGTTGTCACCCCAATACTTGCAAGAATTAGAAACAGAGACATTACTGCTGCTTTCTAAAAACAAAATGCACAGTACACACGGGAGAAAGCATGTTCAGACAATAAGCAAGAGAGTAAAGGAACAGTTCCCACAATTGCCAAATAACAAAGGCTTAAATGCATAGCACACTCGTGCACCCCCATAAAAACAATGATAATATTTTGTGCATTTTGGCATGGCTTTCAAATACACACCATTTTGCCTTCGCAAACAGTTAAACATCATTCATTTTGCATGTATAGGATCCTATTAAAACATTGTCAGTTTCAAATTCTTACAATCATGTGTAATTTGATGGCCCCTTTTCCTGAATTAGCCCCAGTCTAGTAGATAGCACTTTATGCCTACATGTGTCACAAGAAAAACACATTTGACGATTCACTTTCACAAGATTTTGGAGTGCATCCTATATATACATAATGTGAAACTACATCAGCATCAAAGTTCAATTACTGTAACAGAAGTTTGAATAGATGGCTCACCAGGCCTGAAAAGATTGACAAATTTTTCCATAACCCTGTAGTCCTACTGCCATGAGGGTTGTTTGTAGCTAATCCTATCTCCATCCCACCCACCATCAGGCTCCTTTCTCTTCAAAACCCCACTTGCCATCTGATACAGTTTTATTTGCTCATCTGCTGAGGCTTGAGAACCAGGAACGGGGAGCTGCCTCAAAGCTGAAGACAACCTCTCATCTCTACGTTCTACATCAGTATTCCCAGGACCAGTATTAAGATCTAGAGCCTGGCCTCCCCATTTTCTACTTTCAGGACCAACAGTACTTGTACCACCTGGAAGGTTCATTACGTAGGGTCGAGGATAGTGTGATGATACTACACCAGAAGGTCCAACCAGCTGTGAGGGAATGGCAGGGAAGCAAACTGGCCCAACAGATGAAGAATCCACATATCCGGTTGAGACACCCGAATATGAATTTGATGGCAGAGGAAAATTGGTCTCAAATGGAAATCCTGAATACTGAAATGGGCCAGCTGGAGGAAAGGGAATGGCAGGAGAGGATGACAACACTGGCCCCCTGTAGAATTCAGGACCAAACGAGATACCAGTTGGACCCAATGTCCTCTGTGACCCAGTGGCAGATACAATGGGATAACTCTGCTCCCCTCTACCAGGGAGAAACGATGGGATTGCAATGGCTGAATAGGAGTTGTTTTGTGGGAACCATGACGAAAAGTTCCCTTGGTCCGTAGCATTCATTCTGACAAAGGGCAAAGGTGATAGAAATGGCACATTCCCTTTGGCACGTGGAGCTGTTTCATTGACCCCTTCATCAGGACCAGGTCCGTTGTTCAAATCGAAGCCCCTTGAGGAGTTCAACTCAGCATTAGAAAATCCACCAGATAATGATGATCTACTGGACAATTGTGGAATTTCCAATTTACAACTGTTGCTAACTGAGAACTGCCCAATATCAGGACTCTCATCAACTCTGTTCAAATCAAGATCTAGTCCACCACCATGCCGATCAGTAGGCCCAGATTCCAAACAAGTAACCCGTGCAGAATACTGAAAAGCCACGTCCTCAAGAACTCTCTGATCCGGCACATTCAGGTCAAAGTCAAGAGGAGAGCGCCCTCGCTTACTCGTTATGTTATCAACGGGAGGGGAACCAGTTGCACTGAGTGGCATCTCCAAAACCTTTCTGGGTTCCGCCGGCCGGAATGCGCTGGTAGCAGCTGATCCTTTCCATCCAAGTTCCCCTTTACTTCTCAATGGGTTTTCAGGAGGGCGAAATGATCCTTTGGCAGCAGAGGCAACAGTAATTGAAGCAGGAAAGCTTGCAGACATGGAAGAAATAGGAAAGGGTAATGGGCAAGGCAGATGTACAGTGGATAAATTTCCAGGAACTGATGACTTAACAAACTCCCCTTGGCACCCATCATCAACGGGAAAACCTTCATTCAGATCGAAGTCTAGCTTTACAACCGCATCTGATCCTGACACGGATCCAGAAGCATTCACACTGGAAGCACGTTCACCTGTCCCACCAGCTTCAATTCCATCTAACTTGCCTGCATTAGATTTGATGCACTCCTCTGTTTGTTGCACAGGGATTGTGGGAGGCTCCGCATGGGAAATGGATCCATCAGGACAATGATCAAGAACCTCTTTTCTTGCTGACTTCTCCTTGCAACTTTCCTCATTTTGATGTGTAATGGTTGAACTCAAGTCAATATTTGGTTTCTCGCTCTGCTCAGTCTGACTTGCTGCCTTCATATCAATAGCCTTCTCAGCCTTTGACTCCATGCCCAAAACATTAACAGAACCAGAAGGTAGTACAGAACCCTCACTTTTTCCACCTGACTCTTGGAGAATCTTTGCTGTAACAGGTAGCTTCTGCTCAGTTAAGATGCCACAGCCTGACTCCCTAGGCAAAGCACTCTTGCCCTCCCTGCACATTTCTGAAGACGAGCAAGAAGGTGATTCTGCATTACCTTGTTTCTCAACTTTTACACTAGTAGCTGCTTCTGGATCTAATAATGTACTGCTCTCAACAATTTGTTCATCTGCATGATAGTTCTTCTTATCTTCATCAGACAAGGGACTCCTTGCTTTAACTTTGGAAGTCGAAACACTGTTCATTATCGCCCGGAGAGCACCTGACTTCTGGTCAGTTCCTTCATTCTCCACATCACCCTCTTTTGTAGCATGTTCAGAAGAGATAGCTAATGAAGCATCAATTACTTGAACAGGCTTCCCATCACGTTTCATGTGCAAGCCATATGCATTTTGTTGCAAACTAATGGAAGAATTCAATTGGCCACTGCACTCCCCCGTCTTCTCTTCACAGCCACACAAGGATTCCTTGCCATCTTCAGAAAAGTTTGTTGACATAGGCATAGCATCATGTGGGGATTCATTCTTAACATGCAAAGAATCAACAGAATTACCTTGCTTCAGTATAGCATCACCATTTGCCTCACCAGTGTTTAGATCCTCAGTTCGAGCTGTATCCTCATCCAAGTGTCTTGATTTCACGTCATTTCCAGAGCAAGATTCCTCTGGTACAGGTGAATTTCTTCCAGGAGAACCCAATGGCGAGACATCAGATCTGGACATCTCTCCAGCAGCCACACTAGCAAGCAGATTCATCCCAATATCATCCCCACCTGAGGCAGTTGTACTAGCTTCAGAGAACTTGACACAGCTTTCAATCAAAGCATTCATAGAGCTGAAAGAAGCATCATAGGATTTCCCTGGTTTGGGCGTAACCCCAGATGATGAACCAATAACTTTAGATGCTTCCATCAGCTTCCCACCATCATCAGCAGTCCTGCTCCATTCATTACAAATAGCACTGGGGGTCGACACATTACCTTCATCAGACCTGACTAACCCATCTCCACCCTGAAATAAATCCATGTTAATGTTTGATGCACTGCCAGCTTGTACGGCATCACTTTTTCCCTTTACTTTCCTATCAAGATGATCAAGTTTTTCAGGCTGTGCTGGAGGAGAAGCCTTGCTTAATGTAGCAGCAGGATCTTCAAAAGAACCTCCATTGGCATTTCGTGCAGGACTTCGACCAGTGTTTGGCAACCTGACAATCAGTCGCTGATGATCCACATTGGGCACATCAGCAACTCTTTCATAAGTACCCCTAGTAGGTGACACCTTTTCAGAAGCCAAGTTCCTACTAAAGAAACCAGATTTTCCATAACTTGTTTCCTTTTGAACCCCTGATATAGCTGACCCCTGAAGACCATTGCTTGATTTCCGGTTGCGAGGAGTGCTGCCAGAAATCTTACTCACACTCACTGACCCAGCAGTAGAACTCCGTGCATCTTCCCTGCAAGAAGAAACCCCCATCTTTGCGTGATCACTCGAACAAGATTGGCTATTGTTCTGAGACTGACTGGAACTGCTGCTCTTCTCCTCCTTAATTGTTGACAGATGCATATCTGAGGATCCACCAATTAAATTCGCCGAATTTGGATCCTTTGCGCTAGCACCACTGGAAAAGCTCACTAATGCTGCCGATTTTGTTGAGCAAGGAGATGTCGACACATTCTTGGCAACAGTTTCGCCAGAACCAAGCTTAATAGGTGGTATTTTACAAGTAGAAGATTGTAAGGTAGAGCTCTTCACACTAACCTCGGAGGGTCCTCCATTACGCCGGTTCCCCACATGAGAAACATCTGAAAGCACTGACTTGGATGGCCATGAACCACCACGAGTCGATCCCGTCTTGGCATCAATCATATTCATTTCAGCTTCAACACGTTTCTTCCATGTGTCAACTAAAGTCCTAGCTTTCTTCTGAATCTCAGAATTTTTATGACTTCGCAAGTGATTCACTGATTTACCAACATTACAAGTCTGTAGTGCATGTAGATTCACAGGCAGCTTGTCCAATGCACGAAGTAAAACCAACAGAAATTCCTCAGCAGATTTATCGCTTTCCTTGGGGCTACTACCATCACCAATCTTCCCCTTGTGAACCTCTTGCAGCCATTCATCCAACACTGACAAACCCCTAAGTTGTACAAACCATCCAAGGCAATCAAACCTGTCTGTATCAGCTATCACATCAACCAGCATTCTTCGACAAGTCAAATCTATTTTCTTCTCAGCACTGTCAGGTTGTATGAGTTGCACTAATCTCTCAACCCCTTCAAAATCTACAAGCCCACCTTTGTCAGTTATTTTAGCAATCTCAGACTTTAATAAGTGTTCTGGTCTAAACTGACCAGAATCAGTATCATCTGCTCTGGAGACACGCTCTCGTTTGACAGGATCAGAGCCTTGATCAGCCCGATCCCTCTTCTTTCCCTTAACTTGAGAAGGTAAGGGCGAGCTACTGTTCTGAACACTTTCTGAACCAGGCCTTGACTGCAGTGTTCCTGTTGGACCATTCAAGCGCTTTGGAGACCGGCCTCCAGATTGCACTGCTCCATACATTTCTAGTCGCGTCTTGTCTAATAGCTTATCTACTTCTTCCTGCCGTTCCTGTGTCCAAAACAAGACTACAGATATAATCAAGAGAATACTTATGAACGAACCACCAGATACATATCACAAAAAATCACAATACTCACATTAATATAATCTTGATCAGTTAGCCACCATAAACACTTGTTCTCAATATCATACACACGTCTGCACACAAATGAGGATATCCCTGAAGGAAGTTCAACACCTTTAGGAAGGAATGCGACTTTACACGGATGGAGTAACGATGCAGCAGGTATCTCATCCTTGTGGAAGGAGTAAAAGACCTCGTTGGGTGCAGGTTCTAGCAAGGTACCTTTTCCAAGCTTTACATCAGCAGGTCGGTAGAGCCAATTCACAGATAAGCTTAAATTCTCCTCTTTCCCTAATATTAACCTACGAATTATTCCAATGAAAGGTGGGGTGTCTTGGGCGGCTTGAAAAGAGCACAATCACCAACACAAATCTTGCGTCCATCCTACAAGAAAGCAAAGCATGAGCGAAGAATACTCTAAGTTTATGGCACAAACAAATTGAAAATTTTCACATCCCAGATTGTGCAGGAAATGTATGTCCTCCAACTTTGGCAAATACCCAACAAAAAATATGTCTAGGAAAAACAATAGAGTTGCAAAATAGAAATCTCCGGAAGAGAAATTCAGCCAAGATAAAAAGGCAAAGGCATAAGCATTGAGAATTACACTAAAAATTTAAGTTCGATAATTAAATTCAATCTAGACAAGCATATTATTTCTTAAATAAAAACAAAATTCACTCAATAACTTCCTGCGCATTAACAATGCAATCTTAACCAGAACCATACTGTTAATTTGTTTCGTGAAAGTAATTTCAAAGACGGGTTTTCTCAATAATCAACATTTCACCATCTATACCAATCCTAATAAATAAAGGAACCTGTAGCGAATGCATTTAACAGCCTAGAGTCCTAAAAACTGGAAAACTTTGGTAAATATAAAATGTGGAAAACTGCCCAATCCAGCAACTAATAAGCTCAAAGAATCGGCAATCCACATGTGAATAGAAACGAGTTAATGTACATAAAGATAATAAAGAAAACAACCTAATCTTTCATTATTAGCCCAAAGCCAACACAAAAAATTAAGAAACCACACCCAGAACACAATTTTTGTTCCCCTTTTCCAAACCCAAACCCAAACCCAAACCAAACCCAAACCAAAAATTATAAAATAGGGTATTCGCAAAAATAAGAAATCATTTAATTTCATCAGCATCAAGGGCATCTAAAGAGAAAGAAAAACAAACCCAACAACATGTATACAAAAAAGATTTCAATAGTAATATATTTATTTAACAGATATATATGTATATATACTTTGGAGAGAGAATCGGAGGTAATCGCAGCAACGGAATCGGAAACAGCTACAGACGACGTGGAGGAGCGGGGACAGACCACATGTGCCGGCGGTGTATCCTGCGCTCACCTTCCCGTCCATGCATAATAGGCGTCCATCATCGCCGGTATCTGTATCGGTCGTCGAGCTTTCGTCCCTCACGATAAACATCAATCCCTAATAATTTCGATCCCCCTCAAGAACAAAACCCTAGGCTCTGGAAATTTGAAATCGAGATGGTTACAAAGCTTCGATGAAGAGACAGCCTCAAAATTAGATGAATTAATCACCGGAACTGAAGAACTAGGCTTGGGATGTGAAATCATCCGACAGAATTTGACGGAAAATTCGATTATTATTGATCTCAGAGAGAGATGGGGAGATTGGGTTAGGGAAATCGAGAGATTCGGGCCGGGTTTCGAGCGAATCGAGATTTTGCGGAGAGAGACAGAGCGAGAGCAAGAGCGAGAGCGAAAAACGGAGATGGGTTTGGTTTGGTTGGGGATGGTATGCTATGCTACGCGAAGCGCCCAATGAAAGAAAGACAAGGTGAGATGGTTTCGGGGTCAGGTCAATCTCGATTGATGCAAGCATTGGAAACGTGCCGTTTTGGTCATTACTACTGCTCAATAAATAAACAATTCGTTTTCTCAAATTAAATTTATTATTATTTTTCATTTGGGGCAATAAATTACAAATAGACGCCTTGGATATTTCTTAAAATACAATACTGCCACTCATATTTTAAAAAATTAATAAATTTTTTTTGTCATAATTTTTTATTAATGGAATTAACTAGGAAAAAAAATTTTGTAACTGCTTTTTTATACAGTAATAAAATTATTTAAATTATTAATTGAAATGAATTTTGAATATTAATATAGAATGTTAATAACTTAATGAATCATTAATAAAATGAGTTATTTGTTATGAAATTAAAAAATTCAGATTGTCATTTTAAAAATTGCAACAGACAATTCATTTTTTAAGAGGTATATTTGTAATTTCCTTTTCATTTTATCTGAAATCAAAATGTCTCCCTTCCGAAATTCAATTGTGCTTTTCAATTGAAATTTATGTTTTGTGATTAGTTATAAAAATGTTCGCACCTATTCAATTTATGAACAATATCAATACTTTGGTAGCTTTTAAAATAAGAGCTCTAATTATGTGCAACTAGCCCATGTATAATGTGCTTTAGGAGCAAACTCAAATTAGTGCTCCCGACTAATTAGTGGTGGCAGTGCGGTCCCCGCCATTAATGATGTGATGTTTTTTGGCTTGGCAGTTGTGTTTTTTTTTTTTTTTTACTTTTTTAATGCATTAGTGCTATTAGTAGTGATGTTTTTAGTGGGATGAATCATTGTTGTAATTTCTATTGGTGCTTTTCATCTTCTTTTAACTTGCCAACTCACTAGAGTTCTATTTAGAGCTCTTGAATTAGAGCTATGTATCATTGCTCAACAAATATTTATGAAGAAGGGTAATTATAGACAGAGGAAAAAATATTTATAGAACGAACCACAACCCTTTTTCAATAACTTGGACACTAGGCTTCGTTTGGGAAGTGGGTTGACTTTTTGACTTTTTTGACTATTTTAGCCTGGGCTAAAAAACTTGATTTAGAAAAGACTTTTTGGCTTTATGGCTTTTTTGACTTTTTTTGTGAGAGAAGAATGTAATGATTATGGGTTGGATGTGATATTTTATTTGTTATGGTTAAAATAACCTATTTTGTCTTTTGTGACTAAAATAGCCAAAAAAAATCCATAAACCAACTTGCCAAACGGAGGCTAAGATTGAATGCTATCCTTTATTATATATGTACAAATATAATAGTCTATTTATACAGATTGAAAAAGGGCTCCCATCATAGAAATTAAGAGATATTTTAATCCTTACTAACTTGATCTTGTATGTGTCCAAATAATCCAAAGCGTCGATAGTTAGCTATCAGTCTTTCAGTCGAAAAATAACATCAATGCAGATGTTTAGGTGCACTATTTCACAATTGGGATTGTAATTTTCCATGATTTCCCCATTTGTCATTCAATGAATAAAGTTTGCTTATTTCTTTCGTTGAGAATCGACGAATCGTATGATATTTCTATTTTAATTTTAAATTTTGAAAATATTAATGTTAAAATTTGTATTTTTTTCACTTTTTATTTGTGGAAAAAAATATAAAAATAAATCTATAAGAGCCTTTTCTCGATTAATGAGTACTCCATTGCTTTATGCTGAGTGACAAAATGAAATAATAAATGAGAGATTATGTATTGTATAGCATTGTTCATTTCATTAATGAGTACTTAATCCAGTAGTTACACTATTTTCTACAGAAAATCTTGAAAAGTAATGTTTGCAATAAGTAACCACCTAAAAATAAAGGAAAACACAGTTTAAATTTTTGTTGAAATATAAAAAATGTACCTTTTTTTAATTAATTACTTAAGTTTTTCAAAACAATTTATACAATGGACTTCAAGTTTACAGTTTTAAATGGAACATACCATGGGATTTTCCATTAATTTTTTGCCATTACATATAGCATTTTAATATTTTTTTTTTCAATTCAAGATTTTTATATATAAAATTGTTCATTGTTAAAATGTAGTATAATTTAAAAATAAATAAATAAAAGAACTACCCACAACTAAATGCCATAAGAAAACTATATAAATATCCTATTTCAATTCCGTAAATTCAAATAAGGCTTCGTTTGGAAAGCCATGGTTTGAGCTTTTTTGGTTATTTTAACTACAAAAAACAAAATAGGCTATTTTAGCCATAACAAACAAAACATCACATCCAACCCATAATCATTACATTCTTCTCTCACAAAAAAACTCAAAAAAGCTAAAAAGCCCTTCCCAAACCAAGCTTTTAAGCCTAGACTAAAATAGCCAAAAAAGTCAAAAAGCCAAAAAGCCAACCCACTTCCCAAACGGCAATCTTTGATCAACTTTCAAACTTGATATAAGTATTCCTCAAATTCAAGAAATCACAACACATGTTTTAAAAAAGCAAAAACTTTAGAAAATGATCACAACCGTGAGATTCATCACACATCGACGATCAATCAAAAGGTTAAAACATTCAACATGAACTGATTCATCAACTTTGAAGAAATGGATCATCATCGCCCACCTATTCACCATTGATGTACTATTGTACTCCTTGATTTGGGATTCCCAATTTGATTGGTCACTCTCAACATACTTTAAGAAGAGCACATTAACACTCAATAGTCAGCCTCACATGTCTTGCCCTTCCTAGTGCTGTAAAAATTAGAGTTCTCCATCTATGAAACTTTCCACAATAATATTTTTATATACAAATAAACCATCCATATCGATATGGGTTTTTGATGGTGATGTGAGGTAGGCCCTTATTGCTGTTGATTTTGTTTTTAAAATTATTCTCTGAAGGTGTTTTTGAAAGCAACCCCGTGGAAAAAATAAAAAAAATTGAAAAGCATTACATTGATTGATTTGAAATTATTGTCTTCTTCAAGGTTCAACAAACACATCATCTTTGGAAGAAAAATGGAAGGGTAGATATCGGTGATGTTCGTGTGAATTGAAGTGTTTGAAGTTACGACTACAACTTTATCGAATTATAATTTTATAAAAAAATATTTTGTATTTGTATTTTTTTGAGGTTTAATATAATAAAGTGTAAATTACAAATATACCTCTAAAAGTTTGATTAAGACCTCATTTGGGAACAGATTTTTTTAATAGTTTTTTAGTTTTATTTTACTAAAATATGATATTAAAAAAAAACAAGTACGTTTAGGATGAATTTTTGATTTTTTATGAAAAAATGTGCAAAAAGTAGAGAGAAATTGAAATCTTTGACTTTTTGATATATAAGTTGTTGGTTTTTTTGTTTTTTTAGTGACTTTTTTATTTTTAGGATAAAACAAGCCAATGCCAAACAATGCCTAAAATACAAATCGCCCCATGTGGTTCTGGAAATTACATTTCATCCATTCAGGTTTCTAATTTTATAACAAATCGTCAATTTTATTAATAAATCATCAAGTCAATTAACAGTTTTTAATGAT